TTAAGTCATTCCAGGAGGCAATATGTCATTGATCCAGCAGAGATGGATGTCTTTTTGTGGGAGGAAATGCTTGGAAGGAAATCATGGGTTTCTTTCCCCCTCAAGAGGCCATCACTGGATGTAAAAGTTCTGAATAATTTTGTCTGGACTGCACTCTTTCCTTTCCAAGGAACGTTATTGAGAAGATAGTAAGGTTTACTACTCCAAAGGCCCTGGAGGAAGTGATTTATCTGGGTCCTTTTTAAAATAGTTTAAGTCTGAATACAATACCAAGCTGTATGGTAACACTGGCCGATGATCTCGGAGAGTGCTCTATTCTGGGCCTCCTTGATATCTCACAAGCTTTCAATACACTTAACATGGTAGCTTACTGGACCAGTTTAGGAGGTTTTTAGTTGGGACCATTGTTCTTCAGTGATTCTTCTACTCCAAGGTCAGTTTGGTATTGTGGTATTGTGAGGGAAAGAAACCTATTGCATGAAATGAATAAGGGGACATTGACTAGTATGATATGGATGTGACCCGCTGTTACTCCATTTTGGGTTAGTTTCCATAAATTTATCCATATAGCATTACCAAAAAAAAAAAAATATCAATGCCATTTAAAGCTGTGAAGAGACTTTTGAGTTATATACCAGGGATCTGGAAATTTATCATATGAAAGACTGCTGAACACAGTGCAGTCAAAAAGTCTCTTTGATATTGTTAAGAGAGCATGTCACCAGGATTAAAATCTTGGATCGATAATGCGTTCATCGAAAAACCAGCTGTCTATTAGTATGAGGGAAAGAATGGAGGTGCATTTTTAAAAAAGGGCTGAGTGACTTTCTGTGTATGTTTTTTATTTTTTTCCTTTTTTTTTTCTTTTCTCCTCTTTTCTTTATATATTGAGGCTCTTTTTAAACAGTTGCAATTTTCCTATGACATAGTTTTCACTAGCATAGGTTAACAGCTTTTCTTGTGCCATATGCATCATTTTTGTTTTGTCAGTACGGATCCAAATGGACACCTCTTAGCCATTATGTCACCAGCTCATCCAATGCCCAGTTTTACCCCAAGCCTGCTGACATTATTGCATGCAAGGTACAATTTTTTAAATCTGGAATTAATCTTGCAAGGTGGTATATTTGATCCCTATGAATTAACTATGAAAATAAACATATCCAGAAAAATAGGAGGCCTTACAATGAGTTATTGTTTAAAACAGTCTTTCCCATATTTATTTTCTTCCTGTTACAATGCACGTCAATGCCAAACATCCAACAATTTGTCCACCTTTGAGATAGTAGTGATATTGTAGAGTCCTTGACACTCTCTGAGCTTTGTTTGTTTGCTTGCAGACATTTCATTACCAGAGTTGGTAACACATTCAGTGCATCATGCAAACATCTACAAGCAAACAGCTAAGCTCAGAGAACACCAAGGACTCCACAGTTCATCCCTGAGCTATGTCTGTTCTCTTCTATTACTAGTTATATTGTTCAGGGAAATTAAATATCTAGGTTTAGAGAGCAAGAAACTGGGGGTGTGTGGATAAGATAGACAAGAAAACTATCATTTATAATGTAAGAATATGGGGTTTCAGACATGCTGTTTTACCAAGTAACTGGAAAACATATAATAACATTTCGTGCTTTCTTAATACTACCTATCGAAGGATGGAGACAAGGACTTGTTTAAGTGATCTGGAGATTTTTCAGATCAACCATATCAGAAGTCTATCTCATGCCAATATCTTTTTTTAAAAAAAATTTGTATAGTTTTCATTCAAGAAAAAAAATATTTTAAAAAGAGAATCATGTTCTCACATTTTACAGTGTTTCCATAACAGTGTACATCTCTGTTAGTGTTAATTAAGATCATTCACTACAAAGATATCTTAAATCTAATTCCTGATTTCTTACTTTTCTATGTTATTAATACGTCTTGATACATTGTTTGTTTTCCTATGTTACTACACTACTATACCTATATACATAGCTGAACTATACATATATTCATAGCTATACATTTATCCTTATTTCTGTTGTTCCATAATATTTCTTTAATCATTTTCACTATACATCTTTATTTCCTTTTCATTTAACCATTTGTACCATGTATTCCATATTGTAAAAAATTCTCCCTCTTCCTTGTTTTTTAATATCATAGTTAAACTGATCATTTCTGCACATTGGTAAATTTTGTTGATTACTGCTAAATCTGTGGGTACCATTGTTAATTTCCAATTTGGGGCAAAGGCTATTCTTGCTGCTGTGATGATGTGTAGTATTAGATGCTGTTGTTTTTTTACTCCATGACAGTTCTGGTATTCCCAATAAGAAGGTCTCTGGGTTGAGTTTAATCTTTAATTTTGTCAATTTCATGCCAATTTCACATCAATATGATTTTCTTTCCTTTTTTTGTGCTTGTATGGACACCTAGCCTTGAAAGACAGTTGTTGGCACCCATTACATGTCAAATTCACTTCACAGCTACGGTATATGACCGGTTTGGTTCAATCATTTTTAATCATGGAGTTATCGAGTCCTGCTTTCAGCTTGGCAGCACAAAAGGGTGGGCCTGCTACTATGCACTCCTCAGTCTTACAAGAGGCAGTGACCAGGAGCAGGCTGTGAGTCCTGAGCAGTCAGAATTAATTTAATGCTTAATAAAACTGCTCACCTGAAGGAGTTTTAATATTAAGTGGCGCGTTGCAGTCACCAGTCAGGCCTCGTGGTTCATTCAATTGGTGGGTTTCCAGGAATAGAACTCCATGCAGTTAGGTGGGCCTGGAGATCTAATCCATCAAATACTAATTAGCTTAGTGCTTAAAAAGTCTCAATCATGGAATAGAACCATTAGTTATTTAGAGTATGTTAGCCTAGAATTGGATGGAGTCTGCCTGATCAGGTGATTAACAGTTTCTTTACATTATGTCAATGACCCAGCTAAATGTAGGTGAAGAAAACACCTTCTCCCTTAATGTGCAAATTGACAGGCTGAATTAATTTTTATCAGGTGGTGAAAAGCCAACTAATCAAAATTATAGCAGTCTTCCAATATCTAAGGGACTGCCACAAAGAAGAGGGGGGTCTCAAAGTATCTCAAGGCAGAACAAGAAGCAATGGATGGAAACTTCAGCAATCTAGAACTAGAAGCAACCTAGAACTAGAAGCAATCTAGAACTAGAAGCAACCTAGAACTAGAAGCAACCTAGAACTAGAGAGAAATTTCCTGACAGTTAAAACAGTTAATCAGTGGAACGATTTTCCTCCAGAAGTTTCAGGTGCTCCAACACTAAAGGTTTTTAAGAAGAGATTTGACAACCATTTGTCTGAAATGGTACAGGGTTTCCTGCTTGAGCAGAAGGTTGGACTAGAAGATCTTCAAGGTCCCTTTCTAACTTTGTTATTCTGTTGTGGTAGATGATTCTCATTCTGTTAGCCATTCCATCAGATACGGCCGAGTGATTAGATAGCGTTTTTATACCTCTTTTTCCTTCTCTATTTTTATTTGAATGATTAGGAACCTGTCACAGATATCTAGCAGTCACAGAAAAGCATCTTATCCTTATTCCTTCCAAGCTGATACACACCAGCCTGGAATATGATCTGACTCCCAGTCTTGTAGATGCTTATTTTTACAGAACTGGAGTGAGGTTGTGGCTTCAGGGAAGGGGCTTAATCCTATTTACATCTCTCCAGAGTTCCCCCTCCCCCCCCCCCTTGAATCTGTAGTGAACCTCAAGGGCAGTAAATCACCTTTCAGAAGCAGGATCTTGTTATTTTTAATCACTGGTGGGCCAACAAGGTTTTGAAGAGCTTTGAAGTCTGGTCATGGACTTATAGATCTAACTCCGAATCTCTGTGTACCAAAGACTAAGACTGGAGGGAGGGAGGGGATCTATCTAGTTTTTAGCTTGCAGCTGTATTCTTTAAAGTTCACAAATCATATAGGCATTATTCACTTATCCCTTCAATACTAACTAGCTTTCTGAATGCTATTCTTCTTGACTATTGATGTTCAGACTGATAACACAAGGATAATATTCCCAGCACAACAGAGAGGAATGATCAATTTGCTTTTACTAAGACAAAGTACAGTCAAGTTATAATTCCTGAAAGCAAAGCCCCTGGATACATGAATGTTAGATATTTCACCTTTTCTAACAATTAAACTAAACAGCCATGGAACATCAAGAAAAGCCGCCTAACAGTGTAACAATGTCAGTTCATGTAATTTCCCAAAAACGAGGGACAACTACCAGCTCTTTATTAAGGTCTTGTGTGAGTTTATTCAATTCAGAAACACCAAGTTATAGTATCCATTTCATTTGCTGTAGGTGGAATCTCTGGAAGGCAATTTGTAATTTTTCCTTCAGTATCAAATAGGTTTTCATAAACCAGATAATCTGAGAACTGATGAATTTGGCATTTGCTATTTCCATATCAAAACAATCTCCTCTGAAACATATATCCTACAATGGTTTATGCTTTATTCATAGCATACCATTTTTATATATGCATGCAGCTGAAATGGAGAGATCGAAATAATTCCAAACCAGAATTTCCAACCACAGTTTGTTGAATAAACAAGAGAAGCTACAAATCAGACTAGACTGCAAACAAACAAGTGCCACTAAATCTGAGTTCAGCACATGAATCAAACCGTAATGTAGGGCTCCGGTTTTCTATCTCTTATTAAACTTTTGAGCAGAATATGTACTTTAAGCAATGGACATTCAACTGTATGGATAAAATGAGAGAAACCATACTTTAAAATTTTTTCTCATGTAATTATTATTATGACATGTCATGAATTTATGGCCAAAGGACTCACTAGCTTTCCATAATGTTTATGATAGGGATGTCCAACCCAGCCAATCAAGCTGACATGCTGGCTGAGGAATTCTGGGAGTTGAAGTCTACAAGTCTTAAAGTTACCAAGGTTGGACACCCCTGGTTTATGGTATTCTAAGAGTGAATAATTTTATTTTGTTTTTATTTCTTTTATTCTAGTGGCTGCATCAACAGCAAATTCCACAGCTGGGGCAGCAATGAATTCTTTGACTTCTCTGGGGACTCTACAAGGACTAGCTGGAGCAACGGTTGGATTGAATAATATTAATGCACTAGCAGGTACCGTAAACAGTGAGTATTTATTGCTGTGGTGGACATTCCAGCAATTTCCCTGTAATCACCTTAGGGACACTAATCGTTTTAGTAGAGTGAATGCTACTAGGGAAATAAACACATGTGCAAAATGGGTGATAAAATTGAGAAATTCTATTCCAGACAGCTTCAGGCCCAAAATCTAAATAGGTTTTGTCTTGTTAAAGAATTGTGATGTTTATAGTGCTTGATGATATTTTATCCTCTCTTCTAGGGCACACACATTAAGCTTGCATTCAGATAGTTAGAAGGGATCAATTCAATAGGATATTTTGGTTTTGTTTTAATTGTTCAGTAGATACAGGTTTTAGTTGAAGTGGAAACTAAGGAGATGTGTTGCTATTGTTATTGCCCATAGAAGCTACTGCTAAGGGTAATAGCACAACATCTGAATACTCTCTGGATATAGGAGGTATGAAAAATGCCCTCTGCTAGCAGCTTGATTTATAGATTTCTTCAAACCACACATAAGGCATGTTCAAATAAATCACTTTAGTTATTGCCTATAGAGACAGGTAGGAAAAGAATGTCAGACCTTTGAAAGATATTTACATTCTGCAATATGCAATATTTTTTTACTAAAGTAGTTAGATAATTATGATATATGCCATGATCTAATAATTTATCCTGGCATACGCCATAATGATTCTGTTTCTATAGCTCTGTGTTGCGTGTTTGTGTGTGCACGTGCATGTGTACAAGCATGTATTGTATCAACAGATCAGCTTTTGCCAAATCAGCGCCTGGAAAATGGCCATTTGTATATTGGTTGAAGATTTTGGTCATTGAAATTCAAAACCTCCAAAGAGTACAAAATAGGGATCCCTACCTCACCCCCAAATTTTGCTCTCTTGTCTCTCACAGCTTACTATTTCCAAAATATTGGTGTACTTTCTGAACCAACCAAAGATATACTGAGTTTCAATCAGAAAGAATTGAAAGCAGAAATTAATCAAGCCAGCAAAACTAAACAACTCTCCCAAAATCAAAGCAATGAATCGTAGCAAGTAATGTACAAGATAACCTCCACCGTTACAAAACATGAAATAGAAGGAACCTAATCATAGTTAAAAATTATTAGGTTCCAACATTTAATGAAGAAAGTTAAACTATAAAAAAATTGAGTCAAGCATCCATGATACACTTGGTACTACACTTGATTTTAACCGAAAATATTCAAGACACATTAAAGTGTTCTATACACACTATCGTGCTAGGGGAATGAACATAGTTTTTGCTTCTCAGTTATTATAATACACCATTTGATCCACTTAAAATATCTAAATGATTCTGGGAGTTGAAGTCCACAAGTCTTAAAGTAGCCGGGTTTGGAGACCCCTGACCTAAAGTCTAAATATCAGGTAAGGCAGCCTCTGAGGCTCAGTAAATGCCAACATCTTGATGAAATACAAAGAAAAGTATGCTTTCCAACCTCCCAGATATCTACGTATGTCTAAATCATCAACAACTAAAAGTTGTTATAAATACTATAAGACAGGGAAGGTGGAGAGAGAGGCAGGTTCAAAAAGCATGAAACTTCTACTGCTGTTCCAGATTTTTTCCCAGCTGCAAAAGGAAAAGAAAGCTTTCTCAAGCTGTTTGCCTTTAACCAAAGGAGTTTTCTTCTGTAGTCTGCTTAGGTTGGTGTTTACCTGAGCTTTTGAAAGCCAGTTGATACAATCAATGAAAACATGATTTGTTTCTCCATGTGACTCTCTCTTCATATGCGCTCAATGATGCATCTGTCACTCTGATTTTTCTGAGATTTTAAAAAGAGCTCTGGGCTCACAAAACAGAACAAAATAAAAATGAAAAGAGTATGTGTTCCGCTATAGCAGGAAGCTCTTTTTCCCTTTATCTTTTACCCAGCTTGTGTTGGTGGAGAAATTGGCTATTTCTTGTTTAACTAAAGAGGCGATGTGGCCAATGCTGTAGAAACCCTACCCTTTGACTTATTCTCTGCAATTGCAACCAGTAAAATCCAAGGTGTGAACAGGAAAAACTGTGGTCCTATCCTCCCAAAACTTGTTATCCTCCCTTTGTAAGAGAGTTGAGCAGTTCCAAAATGTGAAAGATAGGTGGGAAGGAAAGGAAGGAGGGAAGGGGGGGGGAGGAAGAAAGGAAAGAAAGAAAGAAAGAAAGAAAGAAAGAAAGAAAGAAAGAAAGAAAATTCCTCTCACTAATAATGATTTTGGATATCTTTCTCCCTTTCTTCAAAATTCCTAGCTACTATGTTCTCGTATGTCTGTACTTGAGCATGACCATAGGATTTGGGGGTTTGGGGTTTTTTGATGTGGGGGGCTGCTTGGCCCACTCAGAAGAAATATTTTTTTTCAAGAGATGTTGCTTTCTTTAAGTTCTGTGCACAGCAGTTGCCTCGTTATTTCTTACCCCAATTCTCAGAATTGTTCCTCTCTGTTATTTTTTTCCTTATCAAACTGTCATCAATGCAAAGGTTTAGGAGAAAGGTTATACAAGAAGATTAAAAGAGACAGGAATGTGATTTGACTGCAAGTAAACTGGTGGTCCTGTATTATTTATTTGTAGTCTGTTCCTCAAATCACTTTTCTGCAGCTTTGATCCAATAGCAACAACTATTCAGCCTTGAAGAAAAGGAGCTGATTGTGGTGGGGGGGTTGGAAGGAAGGGTAGGAGATAAACATGTGCAGAAGATTTTATAGGCTTTTTCAATGTTGCATCACCTTTAAACTTAAATTGCTATAACAGGCAATTTGTGGGTAAAAAATATTAAAGCCACTGAAAGGGAGCTGCCATTCCTTTTGTTTTCTTTTTAAAATATCCTGGGCATTGAGATATGTTGGAAATTTTAATGGACAAACCTACCAGAGAGCTGTTCAGATTCAAGGTTTCTGTGCCTCCTTAGAAGTTTTTTTTTACAAAGCCTTCTATAGCATCTGGGTTTCCTAATATTTTTAAGATTGCATCTCCCAAAGGGGATATTCGCTGGAAATTCTACCACTGGAGGTCCAGCATGTCTGAAAAGAACCAGGCTAGCTTAGCAAGTTTAATTTCCCAATTGTTCATACCTGTATTAGTTTATCAAAATATAAAATACAGAGACAACAAAGAAAAATTGAAATAATGGGACAATAGGGGAGGAAAAAGGGAAGAAGAAACAGAGTAGGGGAAAGGGGAGGGGAAAAAGAAAAGCATCGACTTCCAACTCCTTTCTTTTGGCACAGCAGAACAAGATAATAACATACAATCTCAGCTCTTTACTTTTTACTAATTAGTTTGCCAATTTTATCTGGTGATTGGGACCCATAAATATCACTGAAAGGATGTTTCTCTTTTAAGAGTCCTAAATAAACTAAGTAACCATTTCAGTCATATTTTATTATCCACTAACTTTAAGGAGAAATAAGATAGCAGTCTTCAAATATCTGAAAGGTGGATGGGTCACACATTGCTCTAGAGCAGGGGTCCCCAACCCCCCCCCTCCCGTCTGTGGACCGGCATTGATCCATGGCCCACCAAGAATCAGGCCACGCAAGCAAGCAAAGCCCCACCCGTGCATATGCGAGATTCAGGCAGCATGCAAAACCACACAAACCCAGTCTGCAGAAAAAACGACCTCCATGGATCCAGTCCATGGCACCCAAAAAGTTGGGGGTTGCTGCTCTAGAGATCAGGACCAGAATGAATGGGCTGAAAGACTTTCAGGTTCCATTTCAGGAAAACATCCAGATTGCACAAGCTGTTGACAGTAGATCAGGCCAGCACATAATGTGATGATTTCTCCTTCACTGGAGATTTTCAAAGAGAAGCCGAAGGTTTATCTGCCAATGATACTGTAGTGGACCTTTAACTGAGGAGCGGGTTGAATTAGATGGCTCCCGTGCTCAGTTCCAACTCTTCTGTAATTATCTGAATAATCTACTGAAGGTTACAATTACAAATCAGTAGGATGCATCAGATTTCTCCACAGCAAGGGAGAAATTCTTGATTATCTCAAGAATTCCAGTAATTTTAGTAAACTAAGGTCACTCTGAGACTTGCAAGCTGTTGCTCCAGAAGAAAATATGAAAATGCTGAGTAATGCTTCCTCTGCAGATGGGACAATCAGGGACCCCTGAGTGGGAATTTCTTTTTTGTCCCACCAGCTGGGATAGGTATTTTACGATGGGCCTCCTGTGTCACTTTGAGAAAAACCGAGCTATCGGTGCAGCCATTTTGTGAGATGATGCACAGCAGGTTCTCAAAGTACCTAGCTGCCACCAAAGGTTTCCCATCCAGAAACACTCTGTCCTGACCTACTAGTTTTCAGTTACATGAGCTGAATTGGCAACAAAACTCTGGTTCATTCTCGATAGTAGCAGATTCTTTGGTTATCTAGACACATATCTAGAATAGTGTTTCTCCTTCTGGATAACTTTGAGATGTGTAAACTTTAATCCCTAAGATTTTTAGCAATGGCTATGCTGGTTAGGAATTTTGGGAGTTGAAATACATTCATCTCAAAGTTGACCAGGTAGAGAAACATTCTTCTAGAATCTGTAATTGCATCAAAACAAACTTTAATGAGGACAGCCTTTATATTACTTTAAAGATGTTTGTGTGATGCTTTGAAGATGCCATAAATCATAAAACAGGTTTTCTGGTGACCCCAATTTTTGTCGAATGCTGCCTGCATGGGAAACTGAGTTGCTATGAACAATAACTCCTAACCCCAATCTTTATATGTCTTTATAGATTAGATGTTGTCCTACCTGTTGTTTTTAACTGTGCTATCTGGTGAAGTGCCTGATTTGTATTATTGTTATTCTTACTGCTGTGGTTATTATGTTTTATCTGCATGCCCAGCCATTGTTGTCCGTGTCATATTAATGCTAACAATGTTTGGAAAGCACTAATGAATAAGTGCAATTTCTTTTCTCTATTGTTGGGTTTTTTGTAAAGTTGCTCAAATGCTCTCAGGTATGGCTGCCCTGAATGGAGGACTCGGTGCAACAGGCTTGACCAATGGTACAGCTGGCACAATGGATGCCCTCACCCAAGCCTACTCAGGAATACAGCAGTATGCCGCTGCGGCACTGCCCACACTATACAGTCAAAGTTTGCTACAACAACAAAGTGCTGCAGGCAGCCAGAAAGAAGGTAAGATAGGTAGGCCATTGGGGGGGGGATGCAAAAAGGGGGCAAGGAAGAGATTCTTAATTCAAAACCAAAAACAAATGAAACTTAGTGGTCTTCTAAAATTAAATTTATTAGTACAACTGCTGCTACGGTATTAAACTCCATCATTAAGTAGAGTTTTCTTATCCCATGATGCCCTCCCAGTACCCAGGACTTGTGTTGTAATGGATGAAAATAATTGCGAAGTATTAGGGTATGGCAGAAGAGAATATATGTAGCTCCAGTCCTTGGTGCTCTTTGAGCTTGGGTGTTGGCTTGCGGGCATTTCATTATCTGAATAAGTAACATTTTTGTTTGTTTATATCCCATTTCCATTATTTTTACCAATAACTCAAGGCAGTGCACGCATATCTACATACCTTCCTCCTATTTCCCCCCACAAAAACCCTATGAGATGAGTTGGGCTAAGTGAGAGTGATTTGCCCAAAGTCACCCAGCTGGCTTTTATACCTAAGGCAGGACTAGAATTCACTGTCTCCTGGTTTCAAGTCCGGTGCCTTAACCACTGGACCAAACTTGCTCTCATCCTTGTACTACGCTGGATGGGTAATGAAACATCTTCCAGCAAACAACCAAGCTCAGAGAGCACCATGTACGATATGTTTCAATTTTTAAAGAATAAGGCAGAGCAATGTTGAGTTTTTTTCCTCATTGGCCCAACATTTGCTTATTATAGTTTTCTTATGCTTGTCTTATCCTAGCAAAAAAAAGTGATGTTAATATGGAAATATGGTTCTCAGAGGAGTCTGCAGGCCAATGATTCACCTGGATATACTGGAGCTATCATCTAGTTCAGTGATCCCCAATCTTGCTTATGCCGCGGCTCGGTATCCTCAACCTTTTTTATGGCACGGCCCGGTACCGGCATTAGCTGGATGCCGCCATCTTTTTTTGATGAAAAAGTGCTTCCGGTGAGCTTTCTACCCGGAAAAGCTCACCGGAAGCACTTTTTCATCAAAAAAAGATGGCAGTGCCCAGCAAACCAGCGGCCCGGTAGGACTTGTTCCACGGACCGGTACCGGTCCACGGACCGGTGGTTGGGGACCCCTGATCTAGTTAGTTTAGATTGTTAAGGAATATCTCACCGCAGAAAAATGGAAAGCTTGTGATTCCTAAAACCAAAGTCACTGACTCATCAAAATTGACACTGAACTGGAACTAAGCTGCACCTAAGCAGTCGTGCCTACATAGAAACCTTTGGCATGGAGAATATATAGGAACCCTATAAATATTTAATTTCCCAGCACACAAAATTCCTTTTCAGGCACTTGTTCAAAGAATGTTACCACCCACTGCTTTTCTAATACAAAAACAGATATTATCTGCTGCTTTTGCAAAAAATAAAAATAAAAAGTGCTCTGGTTCAAACCATCCTTGAATTCTTTTCCCATTTCTGGTGGGGAAGGAGCTCCCCTATCTGGATTTGCATGTACATTACAAACATATAGCTTTTATAACTAAATAGCATTTCGAGGTTAATGACCAAATCCATCGTGGTTATAATGAAGGGTCGCTTATTTGAGAGTCTTGAGAGGAAGCAAATAAAGGATTGATTGCTTCATATGAGGTGCTGATGGAGCAAAAGAAATCCAGAAACTTAATGCTGAGAATAAATTAATGCTAATTGCAAGATGTTCAATGGGGGGGGAGGCTTCTCCCCTATCCATTCATTTCTTAGGTTTCTACCTGTCCATCAAGCACAGTTACTTTAGAGAAGTGTTTTTCTTTGATCTAATTACAGGTAGTCCTTGGCTTATGACTGGTTGCTTAGGATCTGTTCAAAGTTATAACCATGCCCGCCACCCAAAAAAAGTTACTTACATTCCAGTTTTGAAATTCTGATATCAGTCAGTCCCCCCCATATGATGTGGTCGTATTTTGGACATGTGGCAACCAGCCCGCATTTTTAACCATTGAAATGCTTCCCCCACCACCCAAAAAAAACAGCATTTACTTCAAATTTCAGCAAAAACAGCCCCATAGCAAACAAGGACTATCTGTATTTGCTCCTTTGGGACTGAAAAGAAACAATACAAAATAGGTGTGACGATTTGCCTCAATGGTCAAGCATTCATGGGCCATCAGAGTTATCGATACTCTTTAAAGAAGACCGCTCCAAATTGGATAAGCCATTTTCCTAAGCCCTTGGTTGTAATAAACCACAAGGAGGAGCAGGAGGCTAAAGGAAAGCAGAATCCAATTTACTTATTTCCTTTTTTTGTTGAAATAAGTAAATGGAAAAACCATTCTAACACAGCACAAGGCTGGCACCAAATTTAAAACAGAAACGGCTGTGAAAGCCTGACTCACAGACGAACACAATACAGAAGCCTGATGATGGCAGATGAGATTCTTCCAATGTGTTTATCCAGAGACCCTCAAATAATAAATTTGATTTATTATATATTACCATTTATATATATATAAATTGTGCTTCTCCAAAGATCCACATACAAATACCCGCGAAAACCTCAGTAAACATGTATGTATGTATATGTATGTGTGTGTGTGTGTGTATAGATATAGATATAGATATAGATATAGATATAGATATAGTATTCAGCTTTGTTCGGGTATTTTCCCACGTCATTATAGTTGTGCTTTTAAAGTTGTAGCAATATTTCGGCAGAATCTCATCTGCCATCAACAGGCAGATGGTAATATATAATAAATCAAATTTATTATTTGAGGGTCTCTGGATAAACACATGTCCATCATCTAACAAAAAGTAAAAGTAAAAAAATAAAATATAAATAAGCAAGCAAGCAGTCTTGATGGCCCACTAAGTTTTTTTTCTGCCTATGATAGAACCTGCTAGTCACAGAACACTTAAGGCTTTTTAATATTAAAATAATATTAAAATGGGCATATGAAGAACTGCCCACTATTTGGGACCCTTTTTTTAAAGAAACCCTCAAACTCACCCTGCTAGTTCTACCAATTCCTTTCTCTTCCTTCAGGACAGATTACCTGAGCAGGTAATAAGTACCTGAGCTTCTTTTTGGCCCGCCCCGTTGCTAGGATGACCCAACTGCCAATCCAATAGCAACAGCCAATCAAACAGCAGCGTTGAGCAGGTGGCAGTGAAGGAGGAGAGGAGGAAGAAAGACAAGTTCATGAAGATGAAGATAAATAAACAGAGCCAAAGCTCAAAATAAAAATAAAAATAAAAAAAATAAAATTAAAGGATAGACAGCCCTAATGACAAACAGCAAGGGAAAGGAAGCAGCAGCTGAGGAAAATGGGGGGGAGAAAGGCATTTTTAATACTCCCTCAGAATTGTGTGAGGGAAAGGTTTACCTCAGATGGGAGCCAAGAGTGGGAAAGGTGAAGAACCCAGAAACCCCACTAGGAAAAGGGGAAGAACAAGTCAAGACTTGAACAAAATAGAAAGCAGAAACTACAGAAAGATCAAAGACAGATTGAACACAATCAAAAGAGGAATTTAGCTCCACAGAGAGGAACCAGAAAGATAGACAGGAATTAAGACGAAAAAAATAAAGAAGTCAGCAGTACGAAATATAGAACACAAACATGTAAAAATACATTCAAACCCTTGAGATGGGCAGCTATATAAATATGGGTGGATGGCTAGATAGATGATAGAGATAGATAAATAGACAGACAGACAGACAGACATAATAGAGGAATCAAATCATCATAACTTTTTGGCCATCATGCCAATTGCAATCCCAGAGAGATATTTATAATTTCCCAAAAGTCTAATACAATCAGAAAAATTGAAATTTTGGAGAGTAAATTGACTACAAATAATAATGATAATTATTTTATATCCCACATTGTATATAAATATAAAGCCGCTTTGCTACATGTAAAATTAATAACATAAATAACCAGATTTATAACAGATTATAAAAAAATGTTTGCTATAAAAAGTTGCATTCTAGAGTTATTCATATGGACTTGGCAGAAATGTAGCATTTTTACCCATTTACGAGAACCAAGAAGGTAAAAAGTTAATGTGAAAAATAATCAATATTGTGCTGAAATAAAAAGCAGTATTTTAAACTTTATTCTCCATATTATGCAACAGATATGTAACAAATACAAAGAGGATTATTTTTCTCCAAACAACTTTGACAAAAGCTTAAAATACATATTTTGGCATATAAAATGTCCAGGAATTCTTGTTTTCTAAATAATTTCTCTATCAGCATGTTTCTGATGCTTTGGTGTTTTGTTGTTGTTGTTATTTTATCATTTTCACAGACCTCTGAAAATTGTATTGAGATAGTCTATTTGAGTTGGACAAGTATAATAAATTTGAATAAATGCCAATTTCTTTCATACTTCAACCATTTTATAGAGAATGTAAAAAATAAATAATTCAACTGCTCCACAATCCTTTTCATTTTAAAATTTCCTTATCCGTTCAATTCTTCCATTTAAATTTATTGGGCCACCCAACTCCAATGGACCCAATTTATGGGGGAGGATGGGTGAGATCTTGGGTAAAAATATAAAACACCTTTGTTTCCCTCCTAGTCCTAACATATTTGGAAGACACCACAGAGGGACAAACTGAGCTAAATTATGCTTAGTGAATGTTTTCAGCATAAAATGAAAGAGCTGATTCTGGCTGCCTGTTCTCTCTTTTCTTAAAAGGTCCAGAAGGAGCAAACCTTTTCATTTATCATCTCCCACAAGAGTTTGGAGACCAGGACATTCTGCAGATGTTTATGCCTTTTGGAAATGTTATTTCTGCTAAGGTCTTCATTGACAAACAGACTAATCTGAGCAAGTGTTTTGGTATGTAATATTCAGTACAGAACACCAAAAATCTAACATACTATCTACCCTTTTATCTTGCTCGCTTTTCCCAAACTGACAACTTAGATTCAACATTTATTGTTGTATCTTGCCTTCCAGGGAGAATTGTAGATATATCTTTTTTTACATTAATCATCATTCTAATGTGATCCAGAGTTGGTTATTTGAACATTGTTTCTTCTCTTTAGGGCAGACATTTTCCTTCAAAATTGTACACGCACACGTGCAAACACACACATATGTATACATACACATATACATATTGTATACAACAACATGTATTGTGAACCCAATTGGCAAAGGAAAGCTCAGGACTGTATTGGTTGGAAACAAGCAGAAGAGGTCCTCATCCAGCAGTGGATGGATGATGATGATGATACATATATGTATACATATATGTAGCCTTTGACTTATAACCACAATTTATGTTGCTAAGCAAGACATTTGTTAAGTTTTCCCCATTTTATGACTTTTCCTGCCAGAATTGTGAAGTGAATCTTAGCTTTAATTGAGCAAAGAGTTGGACTTGATAGCCTCAAGGGCTCTTTGCAGTTGTAAGGGTCACCACCTAGGATTTATTGCTGATGTGAATTAGAGGCATTGGTTAACATCCACTCCTAGTCATTCTCCACCAAATAGATTTATCTTTACGTTCTTGATAAAGGAGGTGTTCTTTGCTTTGTCCTCTATAACCATTTCAGTGGGGGGGGGGGAAGGAAAAATTGTGAAAGCTCCATAATAAAGTGAAAAGTTTTTTTCCTCACAGCAGCTCCTATTAATTTTGAAAAGTGCAAGCATTTGTGGTTGAATCAGGAAAAGTGCCTAAAAATATTTTCCTAGAAGCACAACAGAACTGTCAGATGCATAAAACTAATTACATCCTATGTAAAGGAATGTCATTTATTAGACAATCAAGGCACCTTATTATGAGTGTCTAATTATTCTCTATTGTGTTTAAAAAAAAGCGCCTCTCCATGTTTAACTTGTTATTTGCAGATTATATTAAATAATATTTCCTGCTCTAAGAAAGACTATGCAGTTGCATTGCAAATGCATTTTTTCCTTCCACTCAGTTGTACCTGATTTTTAGAGATTGCTTAGACAAGTCCCTAAAGTTTTCTTGGCAAGATTTTTCAGAAATAAATTGCCATTGCCTCATTCCTAGGTTGAGGGAAAGTGACTAGCCAAAGGTCACCCAGCTGGCTTTATGCAGTCTCACAGTTTCTAGCCTCATGTCTTAACCACTGCCCCAAACTGACTCTCTTAAATGCAATATAGTCACATTCACATACAGTATTTGTTAAATAATTATTCCTTCTGATGCTAGTTCTAGTTTCCCCATTTTATGCAAATTTGCAGCCAAAATTGTGTCATTGTGCCTAAGAAATATCAATAGCCTTCGTGTATCTGCAGGGCATTATTTCCTATGATGATGTTATAATTCAATCAAAGTGGAATATTAACAGAGAAGAATAAAAATAGGAACTGAATATAAAGCAAAATGGAATGAACTAGTGCATAGTCTAATAAAAAGAATAGTTGAATATCTTCCCCCACCCCAGAATGCATTTCATTGGATTTTTGGACAGTTTCAAAACTTTTTTCTTCTAATCTTCCATACCTTTAATGACTTTTGTTTTTCCCTTTATTATGTATGCATTGCTCTTTGTTTATTTGTTCTACAAGATATTATATAATCTACTTGACAGGGTGCATTTTTTTAACAATTAAAAGCATATTTAATTTAATTAGTAAATATAATAAAACATATCCATGATAATTATGAACTTGTAACAACAAAGATTAGGAAAGACAATCTGTTGTATTATAATCAAATTATTTTGATATTCTATTGCTTTACTTAATTCTTTGATAGACATAATTTGTGCTACAAATTACAAAGCAAAAAAATGTATCTCTTTAATCTTGAGAAAAGAGACACTCCAACATTCAAAAGAAGAAAAAAAAAATAGTGGTGACAAATAGCTCCAGGATTTTTTATGAACTTTTAAAGCCAGCACAAGACTGGAATAAAATAATAAATCATTAATGTGCTGGTCCATATTTTTTGCACATGGGTCATACTTTGTGAATTTTATTGATAAAAATAAATAAATTGACAACTTTTCTATTGTCAAGCCAATGTCATATGGAAGGAATTAGATTATAAATTTTCTTCTGTGTTAATTATTTTCTTTAAAAGAATTTGGGGGAATAAACATTGCAAATAGTGTATGCTGCCTTCAGTCCAAATGGCATAATTATTTTTCCACTTTCTCCTGCTCTGTCTCTTAGCTGAACAGATCCTGATAACATATTGCCCGTTTCCCCAACATAGTCCTATGCTAATTGAAACTTAGTAGAGGTAGTCCTCAAGGTACAAGAGTTCATTTAATGACCATTCAAAGTTACAACGATGACTTATGACCATTTTTTAAAACGTATGAGTATTGAAGCATCTCTGGGATCATGTAATCAAAATTCAGAGGCCTGGCAACTGGTTCATATTTATAATGGTTGTAGGATCCTGGGGCCATGTGATCCGCTTTTGCGACCTTCTGACAAGCAAAGTCAACGGGGAAGCCAGATTCACTTAACAACTGTACCACAACTTAACAACTGCAGTGATTCACTTAACATCTGAAAGGTCATAAAATGGAACAAAATTCATTTAACAAATATCTCACTTAACAACAGAAATTTTGGGCTCAATTGTGGTCATAAGTCAAGGACTGCCTGTAGATGCACTAGCACAACATATGATGTATGGTTAAGGCTTTTTGTTTTGTTTTGTAGCTTAGTAAGATTTGCAAACCAAATGTTATTACCTTACAGTTCAACGTCTGTGAAATTAATATATATAAATATATATAAAATCATACATTGCAATGTCCTACCTGCAAATGAATACTTTAGCTTTAATCATAACAATAAAAGAGCACACAATAGATACAAACTCAAGGTTAACTGCACCAAACTTGACTGTAGAAAATACGACTTCAGCAACAGAGTGGTCAATGTCTGGAATACTCTACCTGACTGTGGTTTCTTCCCCAAACCCCAAAAACTTTAACCTTAGACTGTCTACTATTGACCTCACCCCTTTCCTAAGAGGTCTGTAGGGGGCGTGCATAAGTGCACCAATCGTGCTTACCGTCCCTGTCCTATTGGTTTTTTTATTTTTCTTATAAGTATCTATCTCATGTATTCAAAACTATATTTATTTTTATACCTGTATCTTGTAAGCGATTGACAAATCAAAATTAAAATAAAAAATAAAAAAATTAAGTGGATATAAAATAGTATCCCTTTTATCCAAGGTATCTGGCAGGTCTGATGTCTTACACCCCAAAGTCTGAAATGATGTCTCCACTGCGTCATTTTGGAACTAAAATACTAAATGTACCACTACATCCAAAAACAGTTTGGATTTTTGTAATCAATGGAGGAACAATTGAGAAAGTTGCCTATTAAAGCCACAAAGGAGAAACCAAACAGAAGTGACAGTAAGGGAATTAGGAAGCAAGTAGAAGTGACAGAATTGAAGAAAGGAAACCAAATGCTTCTCAGTCTTTATGGTGGAAAACACTGTGAAAGAATCCGAGTGCTAACGATTTTCTGTTAATTCTTATGCACTCATTTCTCTCTCTCTCTCCCTCTCCCCCTCCCTTACCTACTTTTGTGCATTCTAGGTTTTGTTAGCTATGACAATCCTGTCTCGGCACAAGCTGCAATACAGGCGATGAACGGCTTTCAAATCGGCATGAAACGCCTGAAAGTACAGCTGAAGCGCTCAAAAAATGACAGCAAACCTTACTGACCGTTCTCCCAGAAGCTTTCTGCTCTTAATTTAGTTTCCTTAGGGTAAGTCTCTTGAGCAAGCCCACCCTTGCTTGGGGTGGGGTTGAGAAAGAACATAAGAACACCTGGCCCGCCACCTCTAAGAGACAGCCATTTGACAATCCTGCTTCCATTTCCCCCACCTGTTTAAGAGAAACTTGGCTAACCTAACCAAAAAAAAAAAAAAAATATGGGATGACCTACAAGATTTGAATTAGCAACTCAGATTTTTTTCTTTTATTTTAATGAGCATTGAAGGGAAAGCACCCATCCACATGCTACAATCTTAATAATTAGAGCTGTCAAAAAAGAAAAATTGCAACTTGACTTTCTAGGCCCTGGTGTCCTTAACACTTTGGATGAGGATAATGAAAGCAATCCTGAATTATCCGAATGGCACCAGTTCTGAAATTGCTTAATAAAGCTATGGCCCTTGGCCAAGAAAGTGACTCATTTAGAACACAATTTTTCCATTACTTCAGTTTGTTTCTTTCTTCTTATTAAGAAGCTTTAATATTTACCATTCTTAGGGCTTCAGATTGACACGTGGTTACATTATCCTGTTTAAACACTGGTTGTCTTTATATATTTGTGTTTTGTTTTCTTTTTTTGTTTTTTAAGTTCTTCAGGTTTTTTTTAAAGAGCATTAGTATAAAAAAAGACATAGAGATCTGTTTCTAAAGCTACAGGGTTTAAAAAATAAATAAATAAAAAAGAATGACAATACTTGATGTTTCTTGAAAGATAAAAATTTAATAATAATAATAATAATAGATACAAAAGAAAGCCACAGGCCTGTAAATTTTATTTGTAAAAAGCATTTCTATTTTTATACAAAAATTTTTACTGCCTCAGAAATAATGGAAGTTATTTATTGCCTATTGTTAACTTATTGGATACCTAAAGACCAGCTCTGTCTGGTAGCTAGATCATTTTGAAGTAGTCTCTAGAGTACACGTGCCAAGAATGGGTGCTTTTTCACCGTTGAACCCTACATCTTTTATGGTTCATAATTTCTCTCCTCTTGTTTGTATTTTGTCTTTGTTAACTTGTCCGTTCTTTCCATTATCTACTTTAAAATTTAGTTGTCTTGGGATTTGTTTGTTTGTTTTTTTGCTCTCACTCTTTCTCTTAATTCCCTTCAATCCACTTCCTATTCCTCTTGATGTTACCTCTGTTGAAATGGGGTCTTGATTCCTTCCCACCCTTTTCCTTCCCCAAATGAAATAAGAATCCATTTTTAAAAAAAAAATTAAAAAAATCCTCCTTTCTAATGGATTCTTTGGGGCTCTTTCATTGTGGCCGTTGTTGACCAAGTGTACAGTTAATGCAAATTGTGTGAATGGCTGGGACTCTAATGATGAAAAAATTTGCATTAGTTTTCTCCTGCACCCATTAAAATGATTTTTGTTTCTGCTGCATAGACTCTCCATAACTTTTTCCTCTCCCTTGTTTTTCCCTAGACATCTTCATGCCCGTTAGTTCATCGTTTGCCTAGCATGTCCCTGTGACGTCTTAAAAAAGTTTCATCGTCCCGTCATTGTTTCTGATGTCTTTCTGACCTCACATCATAATTTGGTTCTCCTACTGATCTTTGATCTATAGTTTGAACCTTTGAAATTTGCATGTGACCTCATCTAGCTATATGAATTCTGGGAAGTCAATGTGAAAAGCATTGCTGCATTTATGCAAGATCAAAATTTGTTCATAGTCAAATTTATGATAGGAGTATTAACACACACAAACACACACACACACACACACACACACACACAAAACCTGTGGCAAAATGTTTTGTTTAAAGTTTTCGATGTTCCTTTTTTCCTTTTTTTCCCCCTTTTATTCTTTTCTTTTTTTCTGTAAAAAAAAAAAACAGACTTGAAAGTATTAGAATGAGGCTGGCATTCTAGCTGGCCTCTTAATGACATAGCAATATGTGTCCACACAGGCACAGAATGTTGGTTTCTAACAGACTACTTCCGAAATAGTTTGAAATGAAGAACTGTCTGATTTTAAGTCTCTAGAGGTCTGTAATAGTTTTTACATTTTTCAGGCAGTGTAAAGTTTTTTGATAAGGCCATTTTAGGTGGCTCACTTTCTCATTAAAAATATATATATATAGAACCACTTTTTGTAGATTAGTATAAAAAATATTTACCCTGTTTTAGGGCAAATGCTACCTATTTGTCACCTTTTGCTGAACTGATTCACAAGTTAGACAATCCATGAATTAATGCACATGAAAATTACCTATATTTTATACTGTTTCGATGTACAGGAGAAAGGTTATTGTAAGCTATTGTTTCATTTGGTGCTTTTGTGAATTAAGTTGTGGTCTCATCATTGGGGGGGGGCTCCTCATGGTCTTTAAGTGTTCTGTGTTTATAAACAACAGGTTTGAAATTGGTTTTTACTTGAAGATCAACAACAGAACAAAAAAAATGAATTTCAAAAAATGAAAAAAAAAGTTGTTTGCTTAAAATTTAAAAAAAAAAGTTTTCATGTGAAAAATAAAAACTATTCCAGACTAAGTTTGTGTTGGCTTCTGTGAGGCATTGATGTCAATTTTTTAAAAAATATTATTGTGGACAATTTCGATGTGTTTGTGTTCAGCAAAATGTGATTCAGTTTTCCTTTTAAATAAATAATAAGAACTCAGTGGGGGGAAAAAATTAGTGCCAAATTCCAAAGGTACTTCTCTTCCTAGAGCTTCAGTGTGTTTCTTGTGTGAAGTAATTTGATAACATGGGTATTTTATTATGTGTTTTGTATAAATCCCTAATATTTAAAGGAAAAAAAAGAGGTTAAAAAGTTTGTTAACTTGCTATCCTGTGGTCTTGTTGCCTGAAATTGTTGTTGTTTGTTATTTCTCTTGGATGTTTTTTGTAAAACATTGTATAAGTGCCCATGTTTCCCTTTTCTAACCATTCTGCGCATCAATGCTGTGAATGCAAACCTCACAATGTAACTTCCTCATAATGTATGGAAACCTCTAAGGTGAGAAAGTTTTGAACTTTTAACCCTTTCCACCCAGAGCTGTCTTGAGAGTTAATACTTTTATACATTCACCATTTTGCTCTTTATTTTTATATACACATTACACACACACATACATATTTGTGCGTGTATATTCATACACAAATATGCACACACACATACATACACACACATACACATATGCACATACACACCTAATTTTTTTTGTGCTTTATTTAATACATGGTTGAAATCAGAAAAATGCACAGAGCAGATCTGAAGGACGAAAAAAAATATTTTACTGCTGTCTAAAGTTCTTCTGTATCTATAACTAAAAAAAATATTTAGAAATTATAGAACTCCTTTGTTTTGTTTTGTTTTTTAAATCTTTTCTTAAAAAGAGCTTTTAATATGCTGCTGGTATATGATATTCTGTATTTAAAAAGTAAAAATAATTCTTTAATTATATATTGTGTAACCACTCCTAGATAGGAGAATCGAACCCACAATTTGAAAGCATAAAAAAAATATTTTTGTAATAAAATTAAATGAATTTTTGATTAAATCCAGCGCACTAGAACTTCCTGGATGAAATTTTCTTGTGCACTCCAGTTAAACTCCTTTTTATGGATGAGGTTTACACACGTCTATGCTCTGATGTGCTAGCTGCCATATTTGTACTATGTTGGTCCAGATGCAATAGATACAAAGTAGATATAGCAGTATCTTTTATTAGCAGGATTCATTCCTGGTAGTTAATGAACATGCAGGTTTCTGACTTGTAGCAAATCCACAAAAAGGCAGAAGCAAAAGATGGCTCTGTAGTCCCTCAACCTGAGAACAAATCACAGTAGCCCAAAATCTGTTTTTGTGAACGCAGGTCTTTAGAGTTTCTGGGTGGATGCAAGCTATTGATGCTCTGAGAAGCAATTGCATATGTGGTGGTTGACATGTAGGGTCCCCGCTGAGGTGAGATTGGCCCTGCTGCCCATGACGTTATGGGGCTGCTGCAGGCCTTGGGAAGCTGACTATGGAAGCTGGCTACAATAGTGCACTTAAAATATATATCTATAGATGGAGCTTCAGTTGTCACAGCCATCTTGATCTTTATGATCGTGCATGAGGACACATCTGGTATTTGCTATGACATCATCCTTTGGGTGACACCACTCATTCATTCCACAAGCAGCTTGAACCCATGAGCTGAGCTAATAGCACCCATATATCCACAGTTGAAGGCGCTGCAGTTCACAAAAGTTTCTGCCATTGTAAATATGACCATCTTTAAGAGGCCCACGGGATTTCACCATTTTTACTCAGTAAAAAACAAGACATGGAAAAGCTGCAGGGGATTAATTTAATTTTGCTACATAAGGCAGTTACAGAGTTGGTATGTTTATTGCTCCTGCTGGGTTCTGTTCACTTCTGCACAACTCAGAAAGCTGCATGTTCCCTCAGTAGAAAATTATGAAACATAAAGGTAGTTGCTTGGCTATTTTGTATCTCTTATTATCTGTGGTAAACAATATGTGGGCACGACCCTGCAAGCATGTACTGTACTACTTACTTACTATCTGTTCACATCAAAGGGAAAGTTCTGCAAATCCTTAGATTTTGCAGAACAATAACGAAGAAACTAAGGAATGATAACACTTCATTGCCTTGTTTCTTTTAAGTTGGATCGAACAGAATAGCACTCCTATTCATCAACTAAATTTTGGTATTCTGTAATGGCAAATATAAACCTCTTTCCAAGCCAAAATTATTTCAGCAGCTTTTCATGCTACTGATTTTTTTTTTAAAAAAAAGTGCCAAAATCATTTCCTATTGTCTAATCCTTTTCACTCTCATTTAAAACATCTCCCATTTTTCCTCTTTCCCACAATTCCCCATATAAATTATTTTTTTAGAAATCAGGTGATAATCTACCCAGTTTGCTTTTACATTCTTTCTAAAGAGGGAGGAGAAAGTATTTTTACTTTTAGAGAAGCCGTGGATGGCAAGCACTCCAAATAATGGAATTCAAATAATGCAGGGTGGGAGAGAAGAAAGCAAGAAAAAGAATTCAAACACAGAGACATTCTCAGTTAATAGATAAGTGCTCCACGATTGTCTTGTGTTTCTTCTTCTGGGGCATTGCTGAACCCTTGAGGGCTAATTTTGTGCTTGTTACACCATTTTTCTTGCTCAATTGTTGACACAGTAATATAATAGGAGATCATGAAACATTTTTCCAGGACATTATTATAGTACAGTATCTAAAATTTCCCAAATAATTATACTGTTTGAAAATCAGATCCCACGTAAGAAACCTCATACCTCTTTCACGTCAACTATGGCTTGTTGCGAAACCCCAGATCAAACCTGTTAAAATGGCAGCCACATGTGTAATTAACTGCACTTAGATGGCAACACAATTATGAATGCCTTGTCCTGCTGGTGCTAAACTCCATAACTTCTCTCTTATGAATTTGCACCTATCCAAGTGGGAAACTTTCTTCTCTCTCTCTCTCTCTCTCTCTCTCTGTCAGTCTCTCTCTCTCTCTCTCTCTCTCTCCTTGCCAGCCTCATTGCTCATTATTTCCCAGGCATTGTTCATTTCGCAGCCCCAAGGGAACTCTTGATTTTCAAAGAGAAGTTTAATTTGCAATATTGGTCCATTTTCCTAGGGACAAAGTACTGGGAGGAAAAGAAGGAACAGGCATAAACAGGAAATAAAAGCTGTCACTTTTTCAAAAATTTCTACCCCTGAATAGAAACACCGCTGCTGCATTTGCACCATAAAAGATTGCAAGGGAAAAACCAGCTAGCAAAATTATAGCTTCACACCAAGGCCTTATGCACTGCACTTGTTGTACACAAGTTCTTTCATATATAAAAGATGAAACGTTGAAGGGAAACTGTGAGAGTGCAAAGGGCTTTTATTTATAGAGGAAGGAAAAAGAAAATAATAATAAACCAGGAATGGTTGCATTTCAAAATTTAACTCTGAAAGCACAAAACAGTAGTTTCCCAACCAAATTAGTTACGTGAAATTGCCGTATTCAAAGGTGTAACAAGTTCATCTTTCTTTCACCATAGGGGTTATTTCTCAGCTTGTGCTACTCTTTGGCTCATGTTGCTGTTTCTGTTTCTATTAACTTAAGTGCTAATTAACAAAAAAAATTAAGTAATTTCATTGTTTTTTCTGAATAATGTCATATCCTGTGTACCAGGTTTTGGGGAGGTGGGGAGGACGTTGTGCTGTGAGAAATTGTTGTTTGTCAACTAATGACAACTTTTTTAAGTTGAGAGCATCAAAAACTCAGGAAATGATCCATTCCTACCACAGATGTGGCATTCATGCTCAGGGAATTCTTCGGGCTCAGCAGAGCTCAGTGTTGCTCATGGAAATTATTCTTGACCCCCTACGAATTAAGAGAGGAGGGGATTCCTGTGACAACCAGGCCCTTCAGCGTCTTGACAAGTTCTGCATTCCTGTGCAGAAGGTAAAAGCAGATTTTTCTTCAACCCTCTATGAATTCTCAGTGTATGGGAGCTGAGCCTGTGGTACAAATGGATTATAACCTAGGTTTTTGCTTCTATTTTTATTTTGTCTAAGAAAAGCCAAAGTTACTGCAATGTAGTGAGAAACTGTAAGACCATTTTGAGTATTGTTTCTGTTTTGTTGATGCATTTGGAGTTTGCTGTTTGATGGAATTTGAGCCAAAAGCAAAATGGAAAACGAAATGAGGAAAATAAAACAAACCAACCAAGTAACCAACCACAGGCTTTCCTGCTTGTAAAACTTGATTGTACGCACGCATTTTGTACCAGTGGAACTTTTTTATACTGGAGATTTAAACAAAAATTGGGGGGGGGGGGAGAATATGGTGGCTTACTCTTGTGACCCCCCCGATCATAACTGTTTTTCCAGTTTGATTTCCATTCAATTGAAAGAAAGTTGGCTTAGTTTAGAAAATTGAAAACAAACATTGGCTTGGTTTTATCCTTTCCATTTGCTTATATTTAGTGTTTAAGATTTTGTGTTTTAAAACACGCAGTAAGTTTCACTCTTTATTCTGTATTGTGCAGTTTCACAATATAACAAATTAGAATTTAGGAGTACACAGTCACTTTAAGTGGATATATGTATTAGGGTTTTGTTTTTGTTTTTTTTAAAGTAGGGTTTGCTTTTTTGCTGTTTAGATCAAAAGGTTTTCCTGGTTCTTCTGTCTTCATTGTGAACATAACTGTGTAGTTGAAACAGTCAAACTTATTTTTGTAACGTATGTTATTGTGTGATGCAGTTTTTTGCTTCTGTCTCCAATATTAAACCATTTTCCTAATACTTGTCTCACTTTCTCTCTCTGTGTTGTACTGTTGGTAGTCATTCCGTGTTGGTAATACATTTGCACACCTCACTGTTGCACGTCCCTGTTGATTTTTTTTTTCTATTCGTTGTGTACAAAAGATACAGTCGATTCCATTAAGTGAACCTCTGATTGGAGAATGAATGCAGATTTGCTGTATTTACCCCCATCTTTTTTGCCTCCTCTACCCAGTTGCCTTTGATTGTAATTATTAGGGTGAAGTTACACTGAAGATGCCTCTAAAAAAGATATGTGTGCTTGTGTGTGTGCCTGTGTTTGTGTGTGCGTGAGAGAGGGAACCTACATACACAGACAGAATCAAAGTCACCAAGTTTTTTCTAGTGACTAAAAAGGGATATATTTCTCCTCGGTAGGATCACGTTAAGTTTACCATTAAATATTTTCTTCATGGGAGAAGAAAAACTTTTTTATTTTTTCAGAATTATTCAGCAAATCTCTGGCATCAAACCTAGTTAGTTTGCCAGTTTTCAGAAGTGTAAAATTTTTAAACACAGGTAGAAGACCCTAAGTTAAAATCTACCAGGCTTATTATAGACATCTTTAATTTTTTTTTTTGAGAGAGAGAGAGAGTGAGTTCAAGGAGAACATTGAATTTATTAAAACTACCCAAAATTTAAAATAAGTTATCAGGAAAGGTACTAAACTGGGCTATTTTGTATTTAGCATGCAAGATAGCTCTTTTTCAGGTGGGTGAACCACATGGATCTCCTAGGAGAGAGGCAAATACTTCAGTCTTAAATTCTCCTTAATGATGATGCTCTTTTTAAAAAATTCTAGAGAAATATATATATATAGGCCCCTCTAATGATGCTATTTTGATTTTGCCCAGATTTTGCAATGCTCTTATATAAAACCAACTACTGACTGTAGTGGGCTTTCTGTATTTTCTCTTGATTTGATTCATCAGATGCTCAAATCTATCAGGTAGGAAAGGGAACTTTCTAGAAAGAGGAACTTCACTCCTTGCATGGGACTCAAGCCATAAAGTTATCCTTTTCCCCAAACTCAGGAATTTAAGACCACTTAAAAGTGCTCTTATGCGATTTTCCTTGTGATGTTTACGTCCCCTTATTAGTATTTTGGTTTTGACGTGATGGAGTAGGCTGCATTCCGTCTCGTGCTTCCGCCAACTCAGTTTGAGGGAAGCGCGTACAACCTAGTTTGCCTGTCTTCTGCTTTACAGAGCCCGGTTTACAGATTTAGCCCGGCTTGTAGATTTCAGAAGCAAATTATGGAGGGAAGCTCCCCCTCTGTTCGCAACTGCCTGCAATGGGGCTTTCTCGGTGCCTGCCTCCTAAAATCCCAACCTCGGTTTCTGTTCTCCGATTACCTCAACAGTTTAGCTGCACGGTAGGACCATAACTGATGAGGTAAACAGGGTGCCTGTGATGTCACAAAAAAATAAAATAAAACTCTCTTGAAACCATTGGAAAAATGGTGCCATCTTCCCAGGAGATAACAGGAGCCTTAATTGTGACACATGCTGACAATCACTTATTTCAATGTAAAAAATGCAAGCTTCAAAAAAAAAATGGAATCAAAGCTTAACTGGGTATACATTTTCAACTGATTAATTGTAGGACCATTAAAAAAAAAAGCATGACTGGAATCAAATGTGGTTTAAGTGGAAGCCCATCCCCCCAAGGGGAATCTGGATGCAAAATTCCCATTTCAGTGGCTCAGTTCCCCTGGTCTCAAGCCATTTATTTCTTTCAGTTGCACATCAATGATTGCGAAATATACCTCTCTTGTCAGCCAGTTTAGACCCTGAATTAGCCTAGCATTAAGAGTGATTCAAACCAGGATTTGTTTTGTACATTTGATGGGTGAAGCAGAAAATGGCATGTAAGAATTCTCAGCAAAGTTAGGAGCCGCCTCTTTCTTTCAGATCCATATAAACTCCAGTGGCTGCCAAATAGCATTTAAGTCTATATATTTAAGCCATAATTATATACCCCATCCTTGTCATTCTGTGAAAAAAAAATGAAATAGATTATCTCTGAGCCAGTGAGACAAACCGGCACTGAAAAATCCTAGATGTGAAAAGCAGACAGGATAATAATCAAACATCCCTGGATGAGAACAACTGCAATGTTGCAAAAAGTTTCAGGACAAACAAGCCAGCTTCCGTAAGTGATACCTCCCAATAGTTCTGAAACTACATCCCCCATATCGCTCAGCGAGGGATTCTGTGGGGTATTCTTCCACCTTCTCTGAAGAACACCTAGCTAGGCAAGATGGCTTAATTGTATCACAGCTCTTCTATACTGCCTACAAAAGATCTGTGATCCAACAACCTGAACACAACACATACCCTCTGTGTGTTGATAGCTTTTCGGTTGGTTGACAATCTTGTTCTCCAGACCCAGACAACATAGGACATTTCCCTGAGCCCTGGTTAGGTTGGAGGCTGGGCTTCAAATTATGCAGAACTGGTCTCAAAGTGGAGGTTAGAAGGACATATAATATTAGCAACTGTTAATCTGTGAAATGACTTGGAGAAAACACGGGGAAATCTGAAGCATTCCGACACATCAGTTGCCTCAGCCATATGCTTTTTGGACTCCAAAATTTGGAGGAAATACGGAGCTGGTAAACTGCTGAGGAACTGGCAGATCCAGGGCCTTCTTTCAGTTGTATCTGTAAGCCACACTTGGTGTGTCTCTCTAGTCATTTTTGGAGATGGTCATCTCCTTTTCTTGCTTCTGAACCCTACGGCCCCCAGAGACCCTGGGAATCCTTTCCGTTGAGGAACCATCTTGAGATGATACTTTTTGCATCTTGACTAGGAGCCCCTCTGCGCATATCAACCCGTAGGCGCCTATCTATCCATGCCTTCAAAATCCAGGTGTTAGTTTTTCAGTAACTGCTACTCTATAACAGGAAACCAAGAAATGGTCTACTCTCCTAAAAGTTCATCTGAGAACTGGATAATTCAGTTTTCCCCTCAAGGTCTTTTCTTTCATCAAGAACTCAGCCATTCCATTCACAGTAATGGTACCAAAGGCTCACTGTAGACAAGAGGTCTCCAAACTTGGCCACTTTAAGACTTGTGGAGTTCAGCTCCCAGAATTCTCCAGCCAGCTATGCTGGCTGGAGAATTTTGGGAGTTGAAGTCCATAAGTCTTAAAGTGGCCAAGTTTGGGGACCTCTGCTGTAGACAATGACATGTTTTCAGCAGTGCTTTCAATCTGGTTAGATGTTCTACAGGCTGCAGCCCACATGTGGGATAGGGAAAGTAGCTGTATGATCCAAACCCCACTCCTTGACATCTCATGTTTAAAAGAAAGAAAAAATAAGAACAGGCAGAGTTTCAAAAGTCCAGTCAGGCCCACCACCATTTTGGATGCTCTTCCTACCTTC